CCCTCTCTCTAAAACCTTCCTAAGCTTAAATTCTTTTTCTACCCTTAATGATCCCTTCTCCTATTCAATCTAGTCCTTTGACTTTCTTTAAATACCATTGATTTTAAATTTTTTTTATAAATTAATATGCCCCAAAATTTCTAAATAATAAAATAAAATATTTCCAAAACAATTAAATAAATAAAAATGGACCTTTAATTAAAATTAATTCTTTTTAAATTAATAAAATACCATAAATAATTCATTTCATATTATTTAAATGCTTCATAATATAATGATTTAAATTAAAATACGGGGTATTACAATTGCAACGGTCCTAACATAACCATAGCATCAGCCAATCAATTTTGGACCGTTGCATTAGGTGTTAAAATGTGAAAATGCAAAAATGCACTTTGTTTCCTGCTCCCATTTTTCTCGAAAATTTGAAATTGTTATTCAACAGGACATCATTATTTTCCGAAATAAATTCTTACCATGTACATACTCTTGATGTTTATCCTCTACTCTCTTTCTCTATCTATATCTATCTCGTCTCTCTCTCTTCAAGTTCCAACATCAAGCTTCAAATACTTTCAATTATCATCTTTTTTGTAAGTTTTTGTTATGTCAATTTTATTTCTTTAATATTTTCATATATAAAGTATTAATGTGTTTATTACAAATTTACTTAATTTTTGTTTATAATTATTGACATGCTAATTTTTGTTTATAATTAGCTATTACAAATCAATGAATATTTAACTAATGCCTTGTTGTATTGAATTATTTTATAACTAGTGTTGGTCATGCTATAGTTCTTTTCAAGTCCTTATCAAATCATTCAATTCTTCTATTTCTTTCAATTATGTTTTTAATTAGATTATTTTTCTCTTGGGGATTTTGTTTCATTTGCTCATCTATTTTTTTAGATTAATATTTATGGGTGTTTCTAAATTTAAGTGTTATATTTGGTTTGTGGATTAATTTAATTTTTTGATATTTAAATTAATTATATATAGGCTTGCTTAGTATTAACATATCATTGTATTATGACAAATATGAATTATTACCTTCTTTAGCAATTTTATCTAATAAGAAATTAAACTAACTTTTTTTTTTCTTTCTTTCTTTTTTTTTTTTTTAAATGTTGAGTGATATGAATAAATGATTTTATTTTCTAATTTAGTTGTTTGTTTTATATATATAGGTACATGGTGATATGATAGATGATGAACCACATGGTATACATCAAGGAGGAAGAATGATGATGGGATTATTGTGACAATATTGTCAGACAATTAGATACATATAAAATTAGGTTTTATAATGTCCTTATATAGGTTTATATATTAGTAAATATTATGTGAACTATTTAGATAAACATTTTGGGTATCGAATTGTTTGCACAGTCAAACATCAATGTAAAATTACTTAATGTGTATATATATACATCTTTCTAGAGAAAATAAAATGGTTGTTATATAATTATGTTTACAATATTTGTTCTTTGTAGTTTTATTGATATAATTGTCTTATTTACTACGAGCATTAATAATGCAACGGTTCTGTAGAAAGTAATGGGTGTTGCTCTAGAACTAAAAGACCATTGCATTAGGTCTATTGCAACGGTCCGTATGATTTCTAAAGAACTGTTGCATTAGATTTTATTTACCGTTGAATTAGGCCCTGATGCAACGGTCCATGCATGGTTAATGGGATAGGACCGTTGCATTAGGTTAAATGAACCGTTGCATTAAAGCTCATGCAACGGCCGCAGATGCAATGGTCCTTTAACCGTTGCAATAGGTCTATAGTAACGGTTTTGCCCTATTGTAACGATTTTTAGGGGTTGCTTTGCTCGTTTATGTAGTAGTGTATTAGCTACCAAATAGACCAGTAGGTCATACGTACAGTATATGTTATCTTCACCTTGTATAAGGTATTGTGATCTAACTTCATAAAAGTTCATCATTTACTACTCCATTCCAATTTTATTTTTGTTTGGCATGGGTTGGATTTTTGTTATCGGGTTTTTCACCATATGCCCTGAGTTTTTTGTTTATTCCCCATATACCCCTGAAATTTTTTAAATTCATCATATACCTCCGAGTTTTCACAAAAATACACTATATACCCTTAATGACTAATGATTGTTAATTTCATTAATCATTAGGGTTAATTATGAACCGAAACTACCCTAAATACATTCCCCTACCCTCGAAACCACCCACATTCCTTTTTTCCACCCCCAAAATCACCCTAAAGTTCTTTTTCTCATCCTCAAAATCAATCATACGGATATGGTTATGGAGATTTGGAGTGGTTTAGGAGGCTGATGAAAAGAGAGGAGTGGTTTAGGATGAGGGGGAGAGATTTCAGGTGGTTTCGATGTATAATCCACCAAATTCCACTCATCTTATTTTCATTAGGGGTATATGGTGAATTTTTGTAACAATTTAGGGGTATATGGTGAATTTGAAAAATTTCATGGGTATATGGTGAATAAACAAAAAACTCAAGGGTATATGATGAAAAAACCGTTTTTTATCGATCCAATGTGATTCATCATATGAATTGTTATCTTTATAATTCGGTATGGTTAATTGATCTAAAATGAATATATGTTTCTGATTTCATCTGATTTAACTTAAAATTAGCTGACCTATTCTATTATAACATGGTCTAATACTCTAATTCTAACAAGCATACGTAATAAGAATAACTGAATAAGACAAGACCACAAAGCCAAAACCGTGGTCCAATATAATGACAAAGAGCATCACTATTCTACGTACGTCAAGTACCTATTTGCATCTCCCCTTTCTCAAAGAGGACTAAATTAAATTCAAGTATACATGCATAATAATAATCAAGATTAAAATCAAGCTTATGTAAGTCCGATGGGCAAAGTGAATAGTTTATCATAAATTAATTAAATTGGTGCTATAACTATAAGTGGGAAACATTCAAGGCCACAAGCTTGTTGGTAGTTTTTGGAGGTACATATAACATATTGACATGATAATGATTTATGAATTGAATTAAATGAAACCTAATATTCTCATCTTCATCAACTTGTACTGTAAAAGTGGACTACCTTAGCTTAGTTTATCTTGAAGATAAGAGGACTAAAAGTGTATTGGTGCAAATCCCATCTAACCATCTAATCGAATTATAAAGAGCATGATAAACATTAAGCCCATGCAGTTTCATCTAATAATTGATGTTATGCATGAACCTGAAACTTTTATGATGCATATATAAGACAAGCCAACTACTTATATTGAGGTTCTTCTAATCTTCTTACATCATTCTTGTTTTTTTGGTGGTTTCATACCTTATTGTCGATTGTTTAATAAGTGAGTGTACATGACTAGCTAATACATCCTAAATATAATATATACTTCTTTCAATTCACAAATATTATTGCATCATAGAGGAACAATAAAATTTGATAGGAGAAGGAGATCGGACGCAAAATGACAAAAGTGTCCTTATACTATGTCCTTCAAAGAATTACTCTAATTAAAACGAAGTAAGTATATGCAATGAATTATGCAAGTGGGGCGGGAACACTTCATATTTCACATGGGTTTTAGCTATAGTAAGGATATATTGGTAAATGTATAAGGCAAAAGTTACATAAAAGGAAAATGGTGCAAAAAATATGATACAAACGAAGTATTTTCTAAACAGATAAACAGTGCGATTTTTGTGTAACGAAGAACTAATCAATTTATTTTTTTAATTAATAAAAGTGGGTATGAGTGTGAATGTATCTGTAGGTGATCATGGACCGAGCTTGACAAACAAGTGGTATGTTGCAGATCAAGAAATCGTGTTGGCCTTGTCGAGCCAAATGCATGGCAGAGCTATGGTTCAAAAAAACTTTTTGATTTATGCTAGAGTTAACTTTTGGGCCTAGCCGAGTTTTAGTTTAAAAATATATTTTAGATTTACCTAAAGCCTTGAATCAGATCAAACCTGGCCTTAAAATCTCACTCAACACAATTAGCTTTTGAACTAATGTTTGCAAAAACTAGCAAATTTTCTTTTAAGTACCATTAATTATTGTATAGAGAAGCTGATTGTAATGAAACCTTGATAGTTAGGGAGATTAGATTCTTGAATCTTGATCTCCAACTATAGGAAGGTCTTACACAATGTTGATGCCTAAGACTCTTCTTCCATCTCAGTTAAAAAGGACTTGATACGGTCTCATATGCAGGTTTCGTGGTCTTGTTCTCCTCATGGATTCCACAAATTAAATTTTGATGCCAAACGAAGGAAATTCTTTTACAAATTAATGGTGGTGGGTCATCCAAAAGGACTCCTTTATTTTTGGTTGCAAAAGCTCTAATTCTTCCATGAAGGAATCAAGAGTGCTATAGTTGTGCAATGCAAAAATCTCATCATTAAAGAGGGACAACTCAGTGGTGATTAACTCTATGAATTAAGTTTGACGAATCCTTCGAGAGGAATTAATGGGCTAATTTAGGATAGAAGGAGGGACCTTACAAACTTCAACTCGATCTCAGTTACTCACTACTACCAAAAGACTAATTAAGGTGCGGACTTCTTGGCGACAAAGGGGAGCGCTATGTAGCACTTTGCTCCTCTAGTTCTCATGACCTCTCCTTCTCCCTCTCCCTTATCATCCACATGGATGAGTTAGATTGGTCTTTTCATAGGGCTTAACCTAGTTTTTCTTTCCTTCCTAAAAAAAATTCATTAACAAATCATTAATCATATAGTCTTTTAACAACTATTTTATGTCAAGCATATTCACTTTCTCCCAACAATTACTATGACAGCTACCTCTTATAATTATTAGCAAACCGCTAACATCAACTCTAATTTTTAACATCCACCTACATAATTATCATATATAAAATACCACACTTTTACCATAACTATTTTTACCGAATACCTATCATCCAAATTTAATCGAACTGCCTAAATCAATTTAACAATATTCCACTTTCCACAACTCCAAATGTTTGGGCAACATTTAGACACTTGGAACAATAATCCACAACCCTCAACACACCGCCAAGTTTCCTTATTCATCCAAACAACCGACTTACAAATATCTTCTTCTATAACCACCCAAAAACCCCCAATTTCTCTCCTCCACTCTTCTTTCCACTATTTTTCAATCAACAAAATCTTGCACAAACCCTAATTCCTAAAAATGTTGCGTCAAACTTGCAAGAAGATCCTCGAGCACGCCCAATCGCAGCCCCAGTTGCGCGCATCATCGTTGGGAATCGCGCGCCATTACCATGAAAGGGTGGTCGATCACTACAACAACCCTAGAAATGTTGGGTCTTTCGATAATAGCGACCCAGATGTGGGAACTGGTCTTGTTGGTGCTCCTGCTTGTGGGGACGTTATGAAGCTTCAAATTAGGGTTGATGATAAAACTGGGAAGATTGTTGATGCTCGTTTTAAGACCTTTGGTTGTGGTTCTGCTATTGCTTCTTCTTCTGTTGGTATGTTCAATTTATGATTTGGGTATTTTATTTTTTGATTTGAGCTAATTTGGGTTGAATTTGTTGGAAGTTTTGTTTAATTAGCTTGATTAATGTGCGTTTTTATTATGTAGTTTTATAATTGATTGTTTATGATGTTATATTCAAAGATTGATTTTATTCTAGTTATTATTTAGCTTATTTGAGATTCAGTTAGATATATGGTTTGTTGTGTTGAATTGTGTTCTAGGGTTTTGGCAAGGGATATACTTATCATTTGTAATTGGTAATCCTTATACTTATGGTTTCTTCTTTCATAATGATTTTCAGGGTTTGAATCTGTAAATTGATGTCGTGTTGATTAAGGCTTGGTATTCATAGCTATTCCCATGGATTTACTCTGTAGTAGTAGATTTCTTGTGGAAGTTCGTCATGATTTGTCAGCTAGTTTGACATAGAATTTGGGATTGAAATTTAGGTTTGTGAGGTGACTTTCTTAGAGACTTACTCTCGTAGTGATTTATTAGGTTTATGAGATTTTCTGTGGAAGTTCCTCGTGATTTGTTAGCTAGTTAGACTTTGAATTTTATTGCGGGCCTTTAAATTTAGGTTTGTGAGGCGACTTTCTTAGAGCTCTTAATCTCTTAGTGATTTCTGAAGATATCTAATTAGTAAGCGCGGCATTGCTTGAAAATTGCTATATTTGCCAACCATTGCGCATATCTTCCTTCATTATTCCTTTTAAGATATGTTGAAACAAAGGGGAAATAGTGCTATATGTTGTATCATATATACAACTAAGAGAACCAGCTAGCTCTGTCTTAACTCTTGAGTGGCATTTCACCCTTAATAATCAGTCACAGCTAAATGAATTTGTAGCAAGAGCACTTTAGGAGTTAGGATGGCATAACATCAAAGTTGAGGGAAGGTTCAAGCGGAGTACTCTAGATGGCAAAGAGTGGACATCAAGGTGCCATGCCTTCTCGTTGATGTAAACTCTTGGACAATATCCCTATTTAAATAGAGACAATATCCCTGATTTAATAATGTTTCGGCTCATGGCAAATAGGGACAATTCCTATTTTAATCTCATTAATGTCAAATAGGGACAATAGCCCTCTTCTAATCTTTTTCGGTTCACACCTTGTACTACAAAAGTCAGCTAATGGGGTGTTCCTGTATCCACCAATTATCTCTTGGTAGAAAGAAAAATGGTTCCATGTTTTTAGACTTTTTAGTTTTGCGTTTGCACAAAAGGACTGGGTTCTGGAGATAATGTTAGATGCTACAGAATTTTAAGTCTATCACTTGAGGATTGCTCATTGATCGTAAAACACTTGAGCAGCTAGTAGTCACGAACATTAATGTATAAGTAGTTTAGGGCTTGCTCAGTTTGTTTTGTGGATTGAAGATGGATTTTGTACTATCACACTCATGGGCACTGATCTAGTTGCTTTGTGCTGTTGTGCATGTCCTTATTTGTTAAGAAGAGCTTAATCTGGGGCAGATGTTGAGTTGTCCCTACAGTTGCTTTATATAAAAATGATAATATAGTGGGTTTTGTATGCCATGATTTATTGATAGAGATGTTCATATCCGAGCTTGCAGTTGAATATGTGATGTGCTAGGATTTAAATATTTAGAAATGTCCTGGACGAACCCACATAGGCTGATTTACTACATCCATAGCTTTATGAGAAGTTAGAATGTTGGAGAGTTATGCTTGGCTACTTCAAAATGCAAGGTAATCTCCAAAAGTTGGAATTTTGCAATATTTACGCTTTTAGCTAGTTGATAATTACTATGAATTTGAAGGCTTGATTGGGCCATATCTTTGCTAAGGATATAATATTGTATACTTTGGTCCTACTCTTATATTAATGTGGATTTTAAAGTTTGAAACTATCTAAGCAGCCTTAGACCTAGGAATTTGTTACTCCGGAGTTTATCTTTGCTGTTTGTAGCCTATGGTGCCTTGCTATTGAGATATGGATAGAGAATTTAGAGAGTTATAAATCTTATAATAGTGGGTGCATTTGGCACAATCCTCCTTGCTTGTCATCTTAGTTAAAAGAGGCATTATTGTATCTGTCTGGTCGTCCTTTATATTTGAGGTCTAGTATCTTCTGAATATGTATGTTGAGATTTGTAATGGGTGACAACAAATAGAATTTTTGTAGAGAAGGCTCAAATGCATTGAGCTTCAAGTGGATTAAGAAGCTAGAGTTTTAGAGGAAATTTTTCCCTTAAATGCTGCCTTATTTTGCTGATGCTGTTTTATTTATTTATTTATTTATTTATTTCCCCCAATTATTGAATGTTTTTTTCCCCTGTGAGCATGAGTTGCTGTGCCTAAGTCTATTTGCTTTATTAATTATGTGTCTTTTGGAGCTTTACAAGTCGTTTGCATCTATATAAAAATTCTCTGACTGGTGACTTGTTTTGTCTCTTTTTCATCAGCTACTGAGTGGGTCAAAGGGCAACAGATGGAGGATGTGGTGTCAATAAAAAACACGTAAGTTACACTCTTGATCTTTTGTATTTATTATGATCATATTAGACTTGTCATATGTAGAGTATTATCTGCTTATCGGCTGTATCTGTGTGGAGTGAAACCCTTTTTTCCCTTTTGGGTGGCTGACGTTTGGGGGTAAAAGTGATATATTTGGACTTGGCTGTTCTTTTATACCACTTCCAGTCAGTACTTGGTACCTCAAATCCCTCATATAAGCATTACAATCATCACTGTCCCAAATATAATATATGACCTATTGTGATGGCTATCTACTGTGATGGTGTGATACATAAAAGTCCATCATTAAGAATTTCCGATTTTGGATTAAGATGTTTCTGACCCTCATGTTTCAGTAAACTGTCGTTTATTCCCCTCACCCCCTTGAAGTAGTAAGCTAGTATGCCTTGGAAAAGCCTCTGGCAGGTCCTGTTCATAGATGTGTAATGGCTGTGATGGGTGTAATATTAATATGCCAGGTTTGTGTTGTTATAACTGCAATTTCATAGCATATGTATGCTGCGGAATCATAATTCGATAATTTATGCTTATATTTTTAGAAGAATAACATCTATGTAACTTGGCATGCTAGAAAACATCGTTGATAAATCATGATCTTTTAGTCAAGTTTTCCATGTAGCCTGAACATGCAATCATATATCATGACTAGACCCCACATGTAAAATACCATGTAATGCAACATTTGCCTAATTTTTTATGTATGGGTTATTGAGAACTCAGTTTGGCGATCTACAATTATATGTTGTGGTCTTGTGGATATGTCTTTTGATTAAAATGGATGTTTACAGGGAAATTGCAAAACATTTGTCTCTCCCACCAGTGAAATTGCATTGCAGTATGCTTGCTGAAGACGCAATCAAAGCAGCAGTTAAAGACTACACAGCAAAGCGTGCAAAGTTGAATGGTAGCAGCACAGAGGCTGCATCTAGCGAGAAGGCTGCTGAGGCTTGAACTGGGCATACATCTCAGAGTTACTGCTAGAGTGCTAGTATAATATGATTACCACCTTGTACTAATAAATGGTTGTACCAGCATTAGTTGGGTATACTGGGCATAGTTGTCTTTAAGACTTGAACTATTTACCTTACGCCTATGTAAATTAACATTGCTGTCACTGATTGTCTTGTTCAAAGTTTTTTTTTTTGTTTTTTTGTTCCCTTTTTGATGATAATGAAGAAAAAAACATTTGGAACTGAAGATTTGTATCATTGTGAGAGTTGTTCGTGTGATGTTTGATTAACCTGCAAGGGCTGCTACATGAAATTACTTTGCAAGTGGATCTTGTATTGTGCTTGGCAAATTCTTTATCTGTCTACTTCGGGCGTAGTGGCACTCCAAAATTCAGGATTTGCTGTTAACCTGGTATGGTTAGCCTCTTGGTGATCATTCCGTACAAGCTATGAAAATTGCTATTGCTGGAATTCAATTAAATATCCCACTTCGTGTATACATATTATTGTTGGTGCACAAGATATATGTAATTAATCCTTTGTCAAAAAAAAAAAAAAAAAAAAGTCATTAAGCATAATTCCTATGTTACACTGTAAATGAGATTTCAGATTTTCCAAGTTCCAACACAAAACTAGTTTTTGTGCCATAATTTTGTGTATTTTTTATATAATCAAGTATTTTCATAGACCGAAATATTTTGATTTTTACATTATTTACATAATCATCAAGTATTTTCATAGATTGGAAGAGAGTTTTATGGAAGATAATAGCAATAGCAAGAATGGTTGTTTGTATATTGTATTTGAAACATATCATATCTTTGACCGGTGTTAATATTTGGGAGAATATTATCTTTTACTTGTGTTAAGTATGTAGGTAAATTTTAATTATGTAGGTAAATAATATCCCTTAATATTACTCCTTGAGTCCTTTCCCTTGGCTAGTGTTGTTTGACGACCATGAGCGAGTTACTAAAAGAATCACATGATTTTAAAAAAGCAATTAGAGCACCCCAATGACCAATGGTAAAGGTAAAATATCTTGTATCTTGGTTTTCATTTCAACTTTCAAAGCTACTACATTTTTCAGATACGAAGTGCTCCAATGTCTAAGTATGAGCGGAACTCACTCTTACCTAGGCCTCGTTCACTTCACCTTATTTTGGCTGAATTGAAATTATTTTTACTGAACTGAAATTATTTTTGCTGAACTGAAATTATTTTTACTGATTTTCTATTATATTTCTTCTTTATGTTTACTGATTTTTATAAAACTGAAATTATTTTTATTAAACTGAAATTATTTTTACTGAACTGAAATTATTTTTATCAAATATTCTTTTTTAAGGTGAAGTGAATAGGACCTTACCCTACTAAATTTTCTTCTCATGTACCATCCCTGACAAGACTAGCTCTTGTCACCGCCACCAACATTGTCAACTGACACCCACTACTAAGAGTACTAACGTCATGGTCAACAAGCATCACTACACGTCTACACTCTCTCCTCCTCATAATGCCCACTCAATCACCACCACAAGCCACATCCATCGACCAACATTTAACGCCAATTCCTTATGTCTTCAACTTATGCAGGCCTACACATCGGAGGTATGTGACTAAACCTCAATTTTGGATAATCTATTCTTTAACATTTGAAAAGTACTTAAAGGCAATATGTGGAGGCTAGAAGAATACAATAAAAACATTAGTCTTATTGCATCCTTGATCACTTTGATCAATTTCATTGACCACCAAAACATGACCAAAATATAAAACAAAAATTAAAATTTTCAATAAGTGACGTATGATCTTCATACTAATTACGTAGTACTCCACTACTCCGTGCTTATTTTCCAATCTCCATCATTATCATTCATCAATAATTCTGGCACTACTGTGCACTGTGAAATTGATTTCTACAGTAAAGTTGGAGACTTTTCTCAATCTCAAACTCAAACACCCATTTATTCATAATTCACTTCAATACAATTCAATTCAAGGCCCCATTTTTCAGAATTGGGCAAAAAATTAAGAAATCGTCGGATCATCCCATAATCCATTTTCGTAACCAGTGACTAAATCAATACTAAGTGAATAAATAATTCATAAAGTTTGAAATTTGACCCAGATAAAATTATGGGTATATTCTGAAACAGGACAAAGTCTTGAAAGTGTGAATTACCCCAGAAAATTTATTGGTGGGGGTTAGCGGGGAGTTGGGGTGGGTTGGTGAGAGAAGAGAGAGAGAGAGCAAGTTTATTGGGAAACTTACAGGTATAAAATTCAGTGATGGCTGATTTAATCAAAAACCCAGTTGACAGTATTAAACCAGAGATTGAAGCTAGAACTTCACCAAAAACTGAGGAGAGAGAAACGGAAATGGCTCCTCCGGCTGCCGGAAGTTCGATTCATCGTTCGGGTTCCCGGCCGCAGCTTGACCTTAGTGGTGCTGCTATTCAAGGCAATTTTGAGGAGAGAGACCCAACTATTTTGCTGCCTAATCAATCTGATGATATTTCTCATTTGGCTTTGGACATTGGAGGTCAATTCTAATTTTTCATTTTTTATTTTATTTTTGGAATTATTGGTTTTTTGATGTGGGATTTGATGGAGTGATGTGAAAGTTTGTAAATTTGTGAATTATTTAAGTTGTTGATGATTATATTGTTGAGTTTGATTGCTGAGATTTTCTTATGGATTTTGAGTTGGTAGGAAATGGTGGTGGGATGTCACATTGTTCATTTTTTGAGTGATAGCTTTGTAGGATCTTAGTGTGCTTATTGTTGTTGATCTTAGCTTGGTGTATTGCATGTTGATTAGTTGATGGGAAGTGTGATCAGATTATGTGTAGTTTAGGCTGAAGTATAGAGGCCAAATTTAACTGCCAATGTAGTAATACTAGTTGAAGTGTGTATCATGTATCAAGGATAAGGATATGAAATGGAGTTGTCTCTTGTCTGCATGTATGTGGAATTGGTTGTTTAGTGTGGAAAGGCAGTGAGTGGATTTTATCAGGATCTCACGCGTAGATTAAGTGCATTGTTGTATTTGATATTACTAGTACTTGATCTTGCAACCCTTTCCCTTAAACAATATATATGTTGTAAGGGCCTTGATTGAGAACCAAGTATAAGAGAGTTGCATTTATTCATTTCTTTGGATGGGTATCTTTGTTAAGTTTAAAGTATTTTGCTCAATTTTTTCGTTGTGTTGTCTTACTGAAATTTAGTGTTGATAAATGATTATACTTAATTGCTTCCAATCCAAATCTGAAACACCTATAATCTAGATACTCCACGACATTGGTTAAATATTTGAAAGAAAGGTCTATGTCTATTTGAGGAACAGGGTCCTCTTTTGGTACACTACAGTGGGCATGCACTTAAATCACTGCTATATCAAAGGGTTTGCTTTAGGTTGCAACCACCAAAATGAAACCATGGCCGAAGCATTTTTGCATGAATTTCAAAGCTTATTAATCATAGAATATTTCTATTCAGTTCGATCCTATAGATAGATAAAGTTTGGCTGAATGTTATCTTTAATTCTTTCCATTACGATAATTGACATTTCTTTTATTTACTGGTCACTATTCTTGTATTAACTTGATCCTTCTCCATTGCATTCATCTATTTTGATGTTAAAGGATGTGAATCCAGCCCACTAAAATGACCGACTGGGAACTTATTTTGTTGGTGTGCCAGGATCCCTCATCAAGCTTGTCTATTTTTCAAGACATGAGAATAAATCAGCTGAAGATAAGCGTAAGAGGTCAATGAAGCAGAGATTTGGAATTTCTAATGGTAATAGGAGAAGCTATCCAATACTTGGTGGAAGACTTCATTTTGTAAAGTTTGAAACTGCAAAGATAAATGAGTGTTTGGACTTCATCAAGTCAAAGCAACTACACTGTGGAGGTATTTGATTTTATCAAGCCTGGTTCCCCCTTCTTTTCTTTTTGTTTTTCTTTGAGTGTGTGTCCTTAACACTTCTGTGGCTCTTTAATATAGCAATGCATGACTTTATATAACTTTTTTTACTCGTGATTTTGTTGGAGGCCTTGGAGCTGCTGTAAACTTTTTTCACTATGCACTTAAAGATGTACTAGTTATTATTTTAAAGGTTTCCCTTATGATGCAGGGATGGTTGCTCGTTGTTGGCCTACTGATGCCTTATCAAATGAAAATGTTTTAGTCAAGGTAAATGTAGTTTTCAATTTGTCTTCAAAAGTACTCGGTATAAGAATTCACATTAGCTTATTGAGGATGTTGCACCTGTAGATTTGTATGATCCTTTTTTAAGGATGCTATAAGTGGCTGAGTTGTAGAATTTCTTCATAACCAAGCCTCAAATATCTTTCTTTTGGTCTTTTATTGACAAATAACAAAGATAATTTGACTCTCAACAATGATCGGCAATTTATGTTCTTTCATAAACCCTTTTTATTTAAATTACTTCAGCTCTTCATTCATCAAATTAGTGATATTTGTATATAATTTTTTATATTTGCTTGCATATGGGTGAAGGCCACTGGAGGTGGAGCATACAAATTTGCAGACCTGTTTAAAGATAGACTTGGTGTTAGTCTTGACAAGGAGGATGAGATGGATTGTCTTGTTGCTGGAGCGAATTTTTTGCTCAAGGTGAACATGCAGTCCTTTTATTTCTGCTGATTCTATAGTTATATATCTCATTGCCAATGATTTGTATTTATATATACTATAGACTATATGGATAACGTGAGCGATAATATTTGTCTTGTTTGTTCAATAAAAAGAAAGGGTTACTTGGCATGCAAGTGTCTATCGGTGCATGATATCCCCTTAATATGTGTTAAATTAGATTTCCATCATGATTTTAGGTTTATGAAGATTTTTTTTTTTTATTGAGATAATTGTATTGGATTAACATGGTTCTATCAAGATCCAAGAGTAAATGCTCTGAGTGTTTTTTGGCGTTCTGTATAGGCAATTCGTCACGAGGCCTTTACGCATATGGAGGGTCAGAAAGAGTTCGTGCAGATAGATCAAAATGATTTATTTCCTTACCTTCTTGTAAACATTGGATCTGGTGTTAGTATGATAAAGGTGAAACCATTTGTATAGACTACATTTTATTTTCATTTAATGTCTCACAACAATAGATATGTTCTGATCTGGAATTGATATAGGTTGATGGTGATGGAAAGTTCGAACGTGTAAGTGGTACAAATGTTGGAGGTGGTACATATTGGGGTTTAGGGAAGCTGTTGACCCAGTGCAAGAGGTCATATTGGGTTTATTCATTTTCACTTTCCAAGTTTCTTCTCTTTTTACGAAACTTTTTCTAACCTTTTAATTTTCCTCTTACTACAGCTTTGATGAGCTTCTGGAGTTAAGCCAACGTGGAGATAATAGAACCATAGACATGCTTGTTGGAGATATTTATGGTGGTATGGACTATTCCAAGGTAACATTAAGGTGTTCAGTATCTTACTGATGTGCTATCTGATATTGGTACTTACCTTTCACTGATTTACTTCTAATTTTCACAGATTGGTCTATCTGCATCAACAATTGCTTCTAGTTTTGGCAAGACAATTTCTGAAAACAAGGAGCTTGAAGATTATAGACCTGAAGATATATCTCTTTCACTCCTGCGAATGATTTCATATAACATTGGGCAGGTAAGTTATAGAGATCATTGAATAAGGATATGGATCTCTTGAACTGAGAATGATGTGATGGATTGAAAGTAATAAAGTAGGATATGCCTTTTCTTGTAAACTAATGAAGGATTAGTTAAATTAGTTGCACTTATGAGGTCAACTGTGTGAGGGTTATGAAGTTTTAATTTTATTCCATCACTTGAAATATCTGGTGTCCTGAATTTGTTCTTTGAGCTTGCTTGGCTAGTGATTATGATTCTTGGACTATTTCTTTTAATGCTGGTGAATGAACTTCATTGGTTGAATTTAAATCTATAATAATTGTGAACCCCTTCATCCATAGAGTTTTAAAGTTTAATTACAATTTTAGACAGCTATATACATAGATATCGCTGAACTTTTGCTTTCCCGAGTAACTGAATATCGTACCATGTGTGGTATTTCTCAGATAGCTTACTTAAATGCTCTTCGCTTTGGCCTCAAACGCATATTCTTTGGAGGCTTTTTCATCAGAGGACATGCATACACAATGGATACTATCTCCTTTGCTGTTCAGTTTTGGTGAGTAACTTAATATTGCTTTACTAGTTCAGATTTCAGAATGATGATTGTCTACTTACTTACTTAGGTCATCTTCTCTTACCGTCTTACCTGGCCATAGGCAGGAGCCTCATGAGGGTGATGTCTATGTATGGCATGGTCATTTTGATAATTCCATTTTCTGATTTTCATCTAGGTCTAAAGGCGATGCAAAAGCGATGTTCTTGAGGCATGAAGGATTTCTTGGAGCTTTGGGTGCATTTATGAGTTATGAAAAACACGGTCTTGACGATGTGATGGTCCATCAATTGGTGGAACGGTTTCCTATGGGTGCACCATATGTTGGAGGAAAGATCCATGGCCCGCCTTTGGGAGATTTAAATGAGAAGGTAAATAAAGAATGCAATACAAATTCTGCGAGCCAATATCATCTTATGCTTGGTCATGCCAATTTTTCCTCCCCCATGCTGAAGCAGTTGCAATCCTTGCTGATATTGGAAGTAGTCTGTTATAGGTGTACCACCTTATGTTCTAATACCTTTTGTTTTGCCACATTATTTGTATTTATAAAAAACTATGTAGGCCGTAAAATGGGCACAATCTTGATCTCTACCCACATGACTAAGTCGGTAGACCCATAAAACTTAATCCTTAATACTCTCAGTTTGTTTTTAATTTTTTCAAGTTTAGAGTTCAATTGTTAGCAGATAATTTCCAAGAAGCAATCTTTGAAGCATTTTCTCTTAATTTTTTTTTTTGGGAGTTGAGCCTTTGAATGTGAGTGTATAGACTATAGAGGGTATAGATACACTTTTAATATAGCTATAGCGGCTAAAGCGTGCGTCATAGCTAGCCATGTCCGGGAAGTTCTTTCTGTTTGGCGTTATGTTATAACTTTAGTTGTTAGTAGCATTAATTAGTGAAAATATGCAAACGTATATTTTTTAGGGTTATAAATGTCCACACGCTATTCTTAAAAGTTTTTTTTTTTTTAAAAAAAAAAAAATTAACATTAATGAGGGCAAATATGTAAATAACATTTTAGGGACATAATCGTCTCAACACTATTCATTACTCAATACTTTTAAAAAGATAGGGAATCGAATCTGAATAGAATGCTTTTGCGCCACTTTTGAAAGAACTCTTTTATTGTTTTATTCTTTGTAGTATACATGAAATATCATGAACTTATATTCTTAGAATTTATCCTTTAGCTTTTAACATTTTTTGGGCTTTAAAATTGCAGATATCATGGATGGAAAAATTTGTACAGAAAGGAACTGAAATTATTGCTCCTGTTCCCATGACTCCTCCTGGAACAACTGGACTTGGGGGCTTTGAAGTTCCTTTATCACGAGGAGATACTCTGCGTTCCGATGCAAGCAGCTTGAATGTTGGAGTTTTGCACCTTGTTCCTACTTTGGATGTGTTTCCTTTGTTGGCGGACTCAAAAATGTAGGAGTAATCTTTAAGTCATCTTTGCTGCTGCTGAGTCAATGTTGATCCTATACTTCTTAAAAAAAATTAGAATTACCTTTGTGGAAGTTGATTTTTACTGGCATGATTTAGGTCAATATCTCTTGCTTTTCTTATTTAGTTAAAGATAATCTTTGGAAGCCCCATTTTGATACTAGTTCCAAGCTTCTAGATAGAATTTACTCCATATGCCTCATTTGTGCTTCGTGCCAAAAAAAAAAAATAATTTATAAACTTGCACTGATTATATTTCTATAATATTTGTGCAGGTATGAACCTAACACCATTGATCTCTCGGACCATGGTGAGCTAGAGTAAGTAATGTGCTATAAAACCCTTCTTATCTGGTCCATCAATCCAGATAACATCTAAAAAGTTTGTCTAATATGCTAATGTCGCTTTTTTATTGCTTGTATTGTAGGTTATGGCTTACAGTGTTGTCTGACCATTTACCAGATCTTGTTGACAAGGTAAGTGGTTATAGTTGTAAAGTGGCCTTTATATACCTAATGTCTATGCTGTCATTAGGATTCAGTGATATTAACTTTATTTTTTCCTCTAGATTGACAAAGAATATATATATTCATTATTTTCTGATTACCATTTTGATGTTTGTTCATAGGCTGTGGCAAGTGAAGGAGGTACTGATGATGCTAAAAGAAGGGGTGATGCTTTTTCTCGTGCATTTTCTGCCCACTTGGCCAGGTGAAATATATTGAATGAGCTCTGGTATACAAGTGGAGTCGTATATTTCTACTCTGTGCTCAAACTTGTGCATCAGGTGCTCCCCTCATGTGACGAGGGTCTCCTGTTGTTCCTTTTTTCTTTACCCTATTTAAATTAAACCACTAGCAAAATGCTTGTTATTCTTAAATTGCTTCCATGAATTTGATACTTCATAGCAAAAATTGTTAAAAAGGTTCTGTATGTTGGATGAATCTCTTATGATATGCGTCTTTGGTTAAGCTTTTGTTGGAGAGCACAACTTCGTTCGGCAAGTGTCTTAGTTTCTACTGACACTGACACTACTGATACTGATGTCAGTGTTCTGTTTACCCCCTCTGCCCCAGGAACTTTCAATGTCACTAGAAAGGAAATATCTTTCTTTTTTTTTGGTTTTAGAGAGCCACAAGGGCAGGGGTGAGAATCGATCCCAGGATCTCCTAGAACCGGGAGGGAAACTCTAACCACTTGAGCTATCCCTCACTCTCACTAGAAAGGAAATATCTGTAATCACATGTTACACTCAACCAATAAAATTTATTAGCAATAAAAAAAGGAATAAAAATTAATGCGGAAAAAGGCTTCAAGCTTGTGAAAACTGATGGCTTATGGTCCTGTAAAAAGGAACTCAGTTTTGGCTGAACTTTGAACTTTTCATGTTGAACTGGATGAGTTGAGTTGCTTTTGGATCTTTATCTATAACCACTTCCAGTCATATCTGGCACAATTGTTACTATTGTTGCTTATTGTATGATTAGTATGCCAATATGCTCTCCAATGTTCTTAATTATTAGTCATATACTTGTATATTCCGAGATTGATGGTTCTCAAACACTAAAGATTTTATCTGACAATTTTATTTGTGAACTCCTTAATAGGTTGATGGAAGAGCCTGCTGCTTATGGGAAGTTAGGACTTGCCAATCTTCTGGAACTGAGGGAGGAATGCTTGAGGGAATTTCAGTTTAATGATGCATATAGAAGCATAAAGCAAAGGTACCTGCTTTTGTACTTTACCGTATAGAAGCATAAACATAGTAAGGTTAATTAATGGAAATTTAAGAGCATCTAACTCTCTTAATCAATTATTGTCATCAACTAATGATTATAATATTGCTCAGACCTATGTCAAATGCTCTCTTTTATAAATCTTTATTATGCATTCATGTTTTGTAGGGAAAACGAGGCTTCCCTTGCTGTTTTACCTGACCTTCTTATGGAGCTTGACAGCATGTCTGAGGTATGTGTGAGCGTTTGTTGTTTTCATGATCAAATGTCATAGAACAAGAGCATGTGTGGTTTATAATGGTAATATCAATGAGCATTTGCTCTAGAACTTTATATATAATTCTCTTACTTATGCAGGAGGATAGACTGTTTACCTTGATTGAGGGAGTCCTTGCAGCAAACATTTTTGATTGGGGATCTCGTGCATGTGTGGACCTCTATCACAAAGGGACAATTATTGAGATTTATAGAATGAGTCGGAAAAAGATGCAAAGACCATGGCGAGTAAGTGTACCGATATGATTTTGATCTTTTTTTTTCTTTTTGTTGCAAATTTCTACACCGCATTGTGTCATTCCTCACTTTATGGGCTAGTCATTGGATTGTTTTCCAATATCGTATCTGTTAATGATTTGATCTCATGTATCAGGTGGATGATTTTGATATGTTCAAGGAAAGAATGCTCGGATCAAGTGGCAAAAAGCCACCACCTCATAAACGAGCATTGCTCTTTGTGGATAATTCTGGTGCTGACATTGTCTTAGGGATGCTTCCCCTTGCTAGAGAGCTTCTTCGACGTGGAACTGAAGTAAGTGTAATTGTAGGCTCTAGTAAATAACATGTACATTCGATATTTAGAGATGATAAGTCTGTTAAAAAAAAATAAAAAACACCTAAGCTGATACAAGTCCATGAAGATAATTGTATTGTGTTTTTAGCCTTTGTTTATCCTTCTTTCTTTTGACTTTCTGTTAATGTTGGTATCAAGTACTGAAGCTCTTCATTCTTTAGCCAAATTGAATGTTTAAAATGATTCTCGCTTTTTCACTATAAATAATTTTCAAATCCATTTATGTTGGACGCTTTAATGTGATTCCCATAGCTACTCTTTTTCTTCTTAAGTATTTGATGGCTTGTCCGACTATATATTTTTTTTCCTTATGCCTTTTCATCTAACTGTTAGTTAGTACGGTGATTGCTTTGCAGGTTGTCCTGGTAGCAAACTCACTCCCTGCTCTTAATGATGTGACTGCCATGGAGCTTCCCGACATTGTTGCAGAGGCAGCAAAGGTATGTTTCTAATCTCGTGTTTGATTTGAGCATGAGGTTCATTGTGGGTGTTCTAAATGAATTCATGTTTCAATTTTCTCTTCCTAGAATTGTGATATTCTCCGAAGAGCAGCTGAAGCTGGTGGGCTTCTTGTGGATGCAATGATAAACGTCCAAGAAAGTTCTAAAGAAGAATTGCCTTCCGTGCCGCTAATGGTTGTTGAAAATGGATGTGGAAGTCCATGCATTGACTTACGACAAGTGAGCTCTGAGGTAGCTGCTGCTGCCAAAGATGCTGATTTGGTACGTTTACTGCACTTCTTTTGGAGAGATTTTTCAGTTGATTCATGATTTTTTACATTGTTGTGTTAATTGAATGAAGAGACGCATGTCATACAAGTTAGATACTGAAGCTCGAGCTCGACTTATACTTCTACTTGCTAGTTCAAACTCCCATAAATTTGGAAGTTGGAAATTGCAAAGTTTGACTTGCACTTGTTGAAACCTGTACATTTGAGCTTCAGCTTGAAATCATAGAAAATGAAAGCCTATTAGAGGTTTTTTAAATTTCAACTTAATTAATAAATTAAAATAAAAAAAAAAAAAACTATAAATAAAAATGTTGAGTTTCTTGTAAGCTTTTTGAGTCAGCTTTATAAGTTGATATCTCAAGTCTCTCCTTACTCAAGAACTCAAGATTTAACTGAATGTACTCGTGTATCTATTTTGGTGTTTCGTCTTGTTAACTTGTCAAGGCCTATAGCTTAAAATATAAAAAATAACAAAGAAGAATAAACATAAATAAAATAGTAAATGCGAACGCAAATTACATGAATGATGTATGTTTGTGGCGTGCAGGTAATTTTGGAAGGCATGGGTCGAGCTATTCATACTAATTTCAATGCTAAGTTCAAATGCGATGCTCTGAAGGTGAGCATTGTAACCCTGCGTCTTACAAAGTTTATATGAATAAGAGGAATTGCATACCCCCATTTCCTTTTAGAACCATTATTAAGTTATTGTTATATAATATTTGTTTCGCAGCTTGCAATGGTGAAGAACCAGAGATTGGCAGAGAAGTTACTCAAGGGGAACATTTACGATTGTGTCTGCAGATTTGAACCAGCAAGTTGAAATGACAAACTTCTGTTGTTCGAATAATGAATTGCTTACTGAGGCGTTCTGTAGAGCTAGAACATTGAGATTTCATGTAGATGTCCGAATTTTTTGGTTTAAAGAACACAAGTTTGAGAATTATTTGATGTACATATTCGTTGGATGTAAATTTGACATAGCCCTTACTCCCCTCTATCTCAAGCACTGACCTGTGCTGGTTCAGTAGGGTCGGTCATATTCAATTAGCAATGCAAAACTTATTAGCAATAATCATGAAAACTACTACAAGTATTTGTAGAAATCTATTGTGTTAAAAAGGAATGAATACTTTAGCAGAAAGTTTAAGCACCAGCTATAGTACTTATATGATTATATCAGTCATATGCATTTAACTTTCCCAGAAACAGCCAATAAAAAATTAAAATAAAAAAACATAAATAAATAAGGGCAAATCAAATTTTTAAAAAAAAATTATGTGAAGGTCGAAATATACTCCCGGAATTTGCATCTTCATCTGTTTCTCATCAAACTGAAATGATAAAAGTACTCTGCAAGTGTTGAGCTAGACCCCTTCCCATCCCCATCCCCAACCCTCGACCCGACCCCCTCCCTTCCCCCAACCCCAAAATCGCCACCTGGGGTGAGGGAAGGGAGGGGGTCGTTAAACAGGGTTGGGGAAGGGAGTGGGGTTGTTTGGTTGTGAGCTTTTTTGGAGCAAAAAGAGTTACAAAATAATACTCTTAACTACAGAACAAAGATAAAACAAGAATAATATTGGAGCACTTGTTGGACCAAAAAACTAAGAAGTGCCAAACCTGTTCTCAAGGGTACTGATTTGATATTTTCTTCCTAGTTCTTAATTCTTATTGTTAAAGTCAGGACTCGTTGGACCAAAAATATCAATAATATTCAGAACTTAGAAGAAAATCCCAGTTACAAGCACATTGGACTACAGCACAACTAACCAACACCATTAAGTCCCAACGAAAAATATGCCAAACTACTAATCTCTTCATTTCTCGTAGTAGCCGGAACAATTGCTGTCTATTAGAAGCGTAAAAAACACCAGAAGCTCCTGAAACCTATCCATTTTTTTAATGGGTTTTTCTTTCTGTCTTTGTTCTGTTTCACTCCATTATTGCAGCTCCTCCAGCAGCCTTTATTTTCTCAATTATGCCTTCTGCCTCTTCTTTTGTGAGCCCCTGTTTAAGTACTACCGGTGCCTTTTCCACAAGCTCTTTGGCTTCCTTCAGTCCTAGACTGGTCAACGCCCTGACTTCCTTGATCACCTTAAGTTTGGAAGTAGCATCAAACTTCTCCAACTTCACGTCAAATGCAGTTTTTTCTTCCTTTTTCTCCTCAGCCTGAGTGTTGGTTCCAGCAGCTGCAGCACCCAAGTCTAAGCCTTCTGTTGAAATCTTCTCCAATTTAGGATGTTTGAGTATCTCTCTGAGTGCTGGACCAATTTGAGCTCGTTCTTCAGCCGTTAGGGTAATAATTTGCTCTGCTAACTGATTGACTTTTTCCGATGGTGCTGGTCTTGATCCATATGGGTCGTAGACTGAGGGATATTTGTACTTTTTAGGCTTGGTCTTCTGAGCTACGTCAGTTTGCAGACAGCGAGCTTGAGATAAGATATACTTTTTTTCAAACATAGACCTTACATGTAAGTTTCTTAAATGCTTAATGAAATGCATATTCCACCAGAGATTTAGGGAACGCAAGAAAAAATCTTCACAATAAAAAAAGCTGCCTCTTTGGAAGTACAAACACAGCTGATCTAACCTGAGAAGGAACAGCGGAAAACACAAGGACACAATATCACAAATACAATAATAAGTCGTGGAAAAGATATAAAGAGATTAATACTTTAATAGGCATTGCATCTTAAAGTGTTCACAGACTTGTCTAGCAGCAAACTAAAAATATTCCCAACTCAAAAACTAATGAACTTTCAGATTCGGCTAGAGTTCAAGACCAAACAACTGCAGGTCCAAGGCTCGGCTCAAGCAAGAACTGAAGTACTTTTTTTATCTATGTGTGTGTTTTTAATTCGTTTCCCCCAAATTATGTCCTTCTCATTCAGATACAGCAAAAGTACAAATAATTCCTAGTTTCCTGCTTCCTGCTTTTGATTTAAAAAAATTTAACATCTCCAGAAAATAAAATCATAAACATTAAAGCCTCAAAGGCATCATATGTTCCAATTAGTTCAAAGATCCCTAGTAAATGAGAATACTACCTCTGTTTGACTGTTTCATATTATGTGCAACAAATGAGCTTACACAGAGTCCTAGGCAAAATTTGTTTGTGAGTATTGAATGGAGAGAGAAAGATAATAATGCATGTGATTAGGAGAGAGATAGAGAGAAATGACAACTTTAAAAGAATTCTTCCCTAGTTCAAAGATTCAAAGCCTCAAAGGTACGAAAAATAGGACGAAAGATGCTTTATGTTCAGGGCAAAGACAGTGGCAACAAAGTCACTATCATAGTGGTGTTAAATCTAAGCAGACGCAAGGCATAGATAATTATAAGCTGTTTCCTTGCCGAGCCAGTAGGTTGTAGGCCATTCACAAATGATCAGCATATATGGCACTTTTTAGATTGAGAAAAAGAGTACAAACTCTTGGGTTGTGCGAAGTCAATGTTCACCTCGTCAAAGATGTAGCCTGGTAATGCAAATACAAAGATGCAAATAAATATAAATAGAATGAGGTATAAGCCTCCTACAAATGCAATCAGATGTTCCCCTCCACCACTTGGCTAATGCAAAGTTAATTTTGATGCAGCTGTAAACTGTAAAGGATCGAAAGTGTGGATTAGGCCACACCAAATGAAACGAGGTAAGAGATATTTTAGTGACTGCTTGCAAGATGAACTTGGGTACACCACTGATCAGTGAACCCTCCTAAAACTCTGCAGATAGAAGCAAGAAGCAGAACCAGATTACGTTGCACCTTCAATATAATACACTGCAAATTACCAGCTTCAATTTCTCTCCTAAGATCGACATCCACACCAATTTTTCCACATTTAAAAAAAATTCTCCTCATAAGCCTCTAACATAATATTGACTTCCTCCCAAAAAGGAAATTAAGGATCTTTTTATCATTGCCAAACACCTCTTTGAGTAGTTGAAGGCTTAAACTGAACAAAAAGGAATATATAGACCAACATCAATCGTTGAGTAAAGAGGGGTATCACGCATTGAATAGGCGACAGTGTACTTCAAATCATCTATACTTCAAACTTTAACTGTAGCAAACAAAGCCTTTTACATATATTGACCCTCTTCATCGCATAGTGACCCTTAAACAAACTAAACACCCTTTTTCAGATCTAGTAATCTTTTTGTATTAAAGTAACTCTATTCTCAGAATTCTGCCTAAAGTGACCCTCTGACTAAGAAGGGTCGCTCTATCTCAAAAATTTACGAAAAGTAACATCCGGTGACCTTTTTCTAGTTAAATCACATTATCATTCAATACACAAGATACCAAGGTTGCAACAAACGATATCTGCTTTATTCATCCATTGTGAGTTTCTCTCATAATTGTCATTAAGCATTGTTGAGAGCAACGTTACCTAAGTCACTAACAACTCCCCCCCCCCAACACACACACACTCACACACCATGTGAATTGGGACGAGGTCCACTGTTGGGTCAGTTTAACACAATCACTCAGCAAATTGCGTTTCTAGTATCCGTCCATGTACCACAACATAGGTAACACTGGTTGAGAGCAATCTCTTTGTATTAGACTAAATAATACTTAAATAAATCTATAACAAACAAATGTTAACTAGACAGCACAAACAGGGGAATGTTGCAAACCATACTCAAAAGTATAATTTTCATAAGCCATACAATAAAAGCCCCAAAGAACTAATAACTAGTAACTGTAACATTATTAGTTGGAATTATAGGTAGTTAGTAGGAATGTCACATAAAAAACATCATAGATCACAAGTTTTTCACCATTAGCAACAAGCCATATAAATGCTCCTTCTGAATAGAAATTACACAGCAAGAACAGCAAACAGCAGTCGACATATCAAAGAGCATTATTGGACAGAAGATCCAACATTCTCACATGATAAAATAGTAACAAAATCATAGCTTTTATCATTACCATCAATCAATAAAAATAAAAATAAAAATAAAAGTAACCCCCATTTTAGCCAACTCAAATTCCTATAGCAGGTTCGATGTTCTACAGAATAACAATGGGGCATCTACTTTCTTCCTCTCCAAATCCCCCTATGCTTGCCACATATCATCACCATCACCCACACTATATTCAGCACACACCTCTTCTGAAAGATCTCACATTCTCACAAGTCACGTCACTCTACCAACGAACCTACTCCCATGCGACGAACACCATTTTGAGAGCTCAAAGCAGGAGAATTCCAATTAAATTGCATTGTTCATAAACGGAAACGGAGATAGGTTCTTGAAAATTCAAACCCCCAAAAGAACTTAATATCAACATAAAACACAACTTGCACAAAAAAGAATTATAAATCACAGTAAGCCATCGTTAAACAAAGGGAAATTTAGTTCTATCCGAAAACAAAAAATCGAAAAGATCCAAGCTGGGGAGCTCTTTACACGTAAAAGCAACTAAATTCAACACCCAAATAACCAATTTACAAATACCATTTTAATCCAGTCTGCTTTAATTAGCTAGCATTCATCCAAACATAACCCACTTTCTAAAACACTCTCCCATCCAAAATATCAGTAAATAAATTCCTGAAAACTAATTAAATCCAGTTTCTAATTGACAATTACTCGTCTAATTGTAAACCAAAATAAAGCTACAGGTTACCAAATGAATTGATAGATATATCTAATGACACTTGGGCTCCATTTTCATAGTTCCGTCCTAGCATCAAAGGGTTTTGCAACAGATTATCAAATATCCTTCTCGCTTAATGAATAGCAAAATTCTAACATTGCTATAATCTTTCGGTAATTAAATTATAAGCAATAGTTCTATTATCCACCTTAGAGAAACCCTAAATTGAATTAAAATTAACGATAAACACACAGATTGTAAAATTGATTTCGATGATAGAATTTAAAAAATAAAAAATAAAAATTACCTAAGAGAAGCTGCTTCAATGGAGGAGAGGAAGCTCACTAGCCGCTTTAACGGAGAATTCAGAGTACGCTTCAATGGAGGAGAGAAAGTAGGAGAGTGCCCGTGAAAATGCCCCAATATCCTATTACTCCGTAGTTTACTTTGAGCAAGTACTCAGTAATCCGTAGTAAAATTATTTTATTTATTTCCGTTGAAAAAAAAAACAAATAGCCATTCTTATGGGTTACTTCATTAGTGTTATATTTCGTCTTAATCACTCTTATAGTGATTTCTCTGTCGGTATTACAGGATTACTTGTTTAGTGGTGTAGGGGTTACTTAATCAGTGTTATAGAGGTTATTTTGTTCTTTTACAAGCAAGACATGATATAGTCAACTGTACACAAAACGCACTGTTTAAAATACTTACGTAGTATTTTTATTACGGAGTATTAGCTTTGATCTAAATTTTTTTTTTTTTTTCTAATCTGACTCTAGCTTGACCTTACATGTACGCTAATTTGTAAGGAAAAAAAAAATAAAAAAATTCTGAACTTATTTTCCCTAATATCCCACAGTCCTTCCTACCCCTATACAACTTGTATTCTATATTTGAATTGGTACATCACTTTGAATGACGCACGTGCTAATCTACAACCTTTAACCATTAATATCATTAATTATCCATTAGCAAAATTAATATGAAGTAAAAAATGTAACCTTCTTTTTATTTTTACAAAAACAAAGTTAACATTGGGGAAAATACATTATGGCTAATATAACAAAGCTTTACACAATAACATGTGCATTATATATATAAGAGTATAAATTTAAGTCAAAGTTGGTGTGTTAATAGTGCAAAAGTAAATTAATACACATATTTAGATATATAGTGAGTATGTATCTTCACGGGTTGAAAACTTGTTCATAGTTGATAATACTCACAAAGTTAACATTGGGGAAAATACATTATGACTAATCTAACAAAACTTTACACAATAACATGTGCACTTATATATATGAGTATAAAATCAAGTCAAAGTTGGAGTGTGAATAGTGCAAAAGTTAAACTGGTACACATATTTAGATATGGAGGGAGTATGCATCTTCACTGGTTGAAAACTTGTTCATAGTTGATAATACTCGTACAACTAACCGCTCTACCATGTCTAATAGTCACTTCTACGACTACATTTTGCACTTGAGTTAGTTTTTTTTGGGGGGTTTCCTATACTCCATCTTATTCATTTCGTCTTTTAAAACATTTTGTCTTTTTAATCAAATACTGCACTCAGTAAACCATACCATTCTATTAATTATTGTCTTACTAGCTAAATAAAAATTTATAGAAATGGCTACAAATCATTAATGACAAAGTTTTGCACCAAAATGAATGAAACCTAAAACTCCATTTGAAATGTGTTGCATCAAATATACAAAGTAATATATGAATTTTGAATTTTGCTCCTACTCCATTTGTCTTGAATCATTTGCCTCATTTAAGTTTCATTATTAAATGTGTCAAAACTCAAAATAGTTGTTTCATTTTTTTTTATTTTTTTTTTTTGTCAACTTATTTCTCTCCATTGACATTTAACTAAGAGGCCCTTTTCCACACAAAAATTCATTTGATCAAGGAAATAAATTGAATTATAGAAGTGACTCTACTAAAACGTTATCTTGTGAAAAATGGTAATGCACACAAGTAATGTCCGCCAATTATTTGGTAATATATGACACCCCAAAACCTATACCTCAAATCTCCTTAAAATCAGTGTGTAAGTGTTTAAGGACTCAAAATTTCATCTACGCACAATGTTTGAATTGAGATGTCACAAAACAATACTCTTGCATAGTTGCATAAACTCACAACAGATTCTATTTAGCAAAATAATCAAGGTTCAATCATTTTAAAATTTGTTAAATCAACAACAATTCAACTTATTATATCATTCAAAACTCAAAAGGAAATCATGTAATTCGTCCCAAATGATTATGATTTAAAGTGGATCTATAGGCTGGGGTTTGTCTTTTGACCCTTTGGCCCAACTAATTCACTTTTTGGCATTATCTTGTAGCATGCTAGAAAGACTGAAATTAATGGTTTACAAAACCCAAGATATTTGATAGATCAAACCTACAGTTGTACAGGACCATTTACAAAATTTGCGCAAATACTACATTTTTCTGGATTTAAAGTGTTTTTGTAATCACATGTTATTATGCTTTTGTACTCCTGATGAGAATTTTACTTTCTCCTTTCTGAAATTCTTGCTTTCTCTTTTTAATTTCCCAGGTTTCAAACTCTAACCACATTTAGGTCAAGTTACTTTTGTATTTAATTTAATTAATTAATTATGTGTTGTAGTAGTAGTTCCCATCATTATCATGTTCCCTAGCCGCGAAAAGAAAATAAAGGTTGCATGTTGTATGCCAAATACAAAATTATAAAGACGGTATTCACACCATCCCACAATACCATGTTTATTTCTTTTAGACATATTTGTCAACACACACCTTTAACCATCAATACTTTTAATCATCCATTAACAAATATCATCAAAATTAAGCATTTAAAATGTACGTCTATACTTATCAATAACATTATTTAAAAATATGATCAAAATAAGATATTGCTTGTGAGATAGAAATTAAAGGACTATGCAATGTAATGTTGGTGCATTAATTTAAATTGAGTATTAAAATATAATATATATTACACATATGTATATATGATATGCCCTCGTGTGACAAACAAATCCCAACAACCTAAGTTTGTCTTCCGATCCAACCAATCTAACGTAGACAACAAAATTGAATAAAAGCAAATTACATGGACTAATAATACTACTCTAGCTAAGGCATGCTATTATAGTGTACTCCCTTTTTGACTTAATGAAGCTCCCCTAAGTCCCATTCACATTATCATGATGTCTTCTTGCTATTCAAATTGGAGTACATCCATGACCCAGGCCACGTCTATATTACATGCATTTCATTAACCTTGCTCTTGAAAAAACTCGAATTCACATAGTTACCGGATTGGGTTAATCGATACTATATTGCAAAGAAGAAAAAAAAAATAATAATAATAAAAAAACCTAAGTTACGCTATAAAGCGTTTTAGGGACAAATTATGAGCATAATATTCTCAACATACATCAAAGTAGAATCCGTCATGATTGTTTTTTTTTTTTAGACAGGTCATCGTAAGTAATAGATATAACGATATTAGATATCAAGTATGTAAAAGTTAAGTACGACGTATTACTAAGATACTCATCATGAGCGCCCTATCGTATGCAAGCTCCCTTGGTGTGCTAGACTAGTGAATTAGTGGTAGGAGATTGAAAACCGCCACCCATCAAGCCGGTCCACGAGCCAAGACTAGCACCATTACTATTCATGTTGTACCCAAAAGATGAGTCCTTGCCACCATTATGGTCAGAAGTTGTAGTAGTAGTAGTAGCAGCACAACCTTGGTCTTGCCAATCAAGGGACAAAAGCTTAGGGTTAGGCTTCACATCTACCCCACTTTGATGATGATGATGATGATGATCATTATTGTTCCCATCATATGGGAGCAACAATCTTTGATCCATGAAGCTAATTCCTGAACTTCCATCATGATGATGATGATGCATATCATTAGTATTAGACACTCCAAAAGGTGATGAATTAGAAGAATAAATACCACCAAAAGTAGTAGTATTATTACCATTATACCCTCCAAATCCACCCATTAGACCAAATTGTTCACTACCATTAGTAGTATTACCCCCCATAAAATCATGCCCTCTATTCCCTCCTCCTACTAAACCCTCATACTTGCTTTCCATAAAATCAATAGGCCTCATTAGACCACCACCCTCCATGAAACTCCCCCACCGGCGAGGCTCATTTGCGCGCCGATAAGGTTAGCAAGGTGAGGTGGGAATTGCACTTCATGAGGGAATGAGAGGTGGAGGTCAATAGGGTTGTTAGGGCTCGAGTTGGGTCCAAGGATGGAGTTACTACCACCATGATGAAGATGGACATTCAAGGGTTGGTTTTGTTGGTCATTGTTGGATTTTTTCGAGCTCGATTTCTTGTTCTTTCTACAACCACCTCCAACAGGGATGTTCCTTAGGGTTCCTCCCTTAGTCCAATACCTCCTACAAGTCTTGCAGAAGTACCTAGGCTGTGAGAGGCTGTAGTTGTTGTAATAACAAAATTTGGTGTGAGTTGAGTCACACCTTGGGCATTTCAGGTGTTGGTCATGTGGTGGCCTTAGCCTTCTCTCCATTAATGCCGGTCCCGTCCTTGACGAGCATGCTGCTGCTAGCATACACTCTGTTGTTGTTGTTCCTCCTGATGGCGAGGAGGATGAGTCTAGCCCTGTTGATATTTCCTCCGACATTGTGCCCTGCTAGTACGTTCATATAACATATTGAGTACCGACTATAATACCTCTTTGTTGCAAATAATAAGAAACAAAACTAACGCAAGCAGTATATATGTACGACTCTACGAGTATCTAGGTGAATGAGACTCCACCACAATGACAGAGAGCGCTAGCAATATCATAAACTTAATTAGTGTACATAAAAAAGATTATTTATAGTAAATTTAGTTAAACTACAACCAATTAAAGTTCAGTATATTAAGTACAAGAGCAAGCTTATCACAGATGCAACACATATGGGAAAACAGCATAAATTACACCAACATTTAAAAATTGAGTACTAATTATTCCATTAAGTAACATTAAGCTGTTAAGTAACCTTGCTTCTTATTCACCTTGCTTTACCTCTTTAGAATAACAAGAAAATTTTAACAAGTTTAATTATACTTGTACTAATTAAATACATATGTAGTACATAATAATTGAGAGTTCAAATTTCTTCATATCAACATCTTTAAACAAATGTATAGAGAAATGATAAAATAAATTTATAACACAACATTTAAAATAGTGAAAATGTAGGTGATACCGTGTTATAAATTGACCTATATGCTAATTACCATATAGTATTGGTTAATTATGAAAAAATTTATGCATGAATAAAAATTAAATGTATATACCTGAAGCCAGTCAGATGAATCCATGCAAACTTGCAAAGAAGAATGCGCCATCATCAAATAATAATTACTTATAAAAGATATATGTAATCTCTCAAATTTTGAAATTAGCCAAATTATT